TATTAATCTGTTTCCTCATTTTAGTAAATGGTGGAGACATTGTAATAATTCGTTCCATTGTTTGAGTAAATTGTGGCCACTCTGTACTAACTCATTCTCTTGTTTTAGTCATTTGTGGCCATGTTATACTCAGTTGTTCCCTCTTTTTATTAAATTGTGGCCTCGTCGTACTAATTCATCCCCTCTTTTTAGTACATATTGGCGACGCCATACTAATCCGTTGCCTCGTTTGAGTAAATCGTGGCCTTGTCGTACTAATTAGTTCCCTCATTTTAGTCATTTGTGGCCATGTCGTACTAACTCGTTACCTTGTTTTAATTGGATCAAAACGAGGGAACAAATTTGTACACTATGGCCACGATTTAATAAAATGAGGGAACGTATTCTTCATTCGTGGCCACAATGAATATAATCGTGTCCACATGTCACAGAAATATGATCTGACTGGGTTCGAGGGAATTTCATATACAGACTGCCGATGGCGGAGGCTTCAGTCTGATAGATGGTTTTGATTGTGAACAAATATCCCATCTGAACCTAGTTTAGACAGAGGGATAAACTGGTGGTGCTTCAGCGCTGCCCGTGTTCGAGTTCTTGCAGGAATTGGATTAGCAGCACTTTAGACTCATCAGCGGAGGAAATATCAGGTGAACATACCTCAACCCTCTTCTTCACTTCACCGGTGCCTCACAGGCCAGCACCTCTCTTCCCTCACGCTTTTCAAATTCAGTTAGCATCGACTAGCGCTATTCTTAGGCCGCGTGGATGAGCGGGACTGCTAGTTATCACTGGCACCACTGCTTTAAAATCAGCACCTTACAGGAATAATTCACTCCGAAACAATCGTTTATTCACCCGCATATCATTCCAATCACATATTTTCTGTTTTATATACTGTTAGGAAAACACACACACACACACATGGACTATACTTCATTCAGGCTTGTGTGATTTACAGAAATAGGGCTGTATGCCTTACACAAGGTTTGACATCTTTGATGCATGTTTTTTGCGACTAATCCTGTAGGAAGTTTTAATATGTGAGATTTTAAATCTGGCGAAATGATTTCAGAAGTCTTGGGATTCAGGAGCGCACAAGTCCTATGGACCGTTCTAATAACTGTTGTTCTTTTGTGGAGCTTGTAAGTTTAAATCACCAGCAGCTTTATTTGTACAGAAGCGGGAAGCTTGAACATTCTTCCTAATATCTCCTTTTAAAAATACAGGTTTGGAATGACATTAGGGTGAATAAATCATTTCTTTTTTTTTTTTATTCCTGTAAAAAAAACTATAAACATATATACACACACACACAGTGTTTTGGGTAATCAGATTACTTTTTCCCCCAAGTAACTAGTCAAGTTAAAAAAAAAATATCTGAGTTACTTTTTCAAATAAGTGCTGCCAGTTGTTTATTTTCGCTCTCCTGACCTCATGTTGAGAGAAATCCGGAGTGAGTGCGGAGGCATTGTGCGCGCTGTGTGAACATGATGTTACTGTGGTTCTAGACTAAATGTCAACATTCACTCATCTCACTTGCACAGAAACAGTCATTATTTCTCACAATGCATAAAAAGTGAAATGCAAACGTACAATATGCAAAACCTGCAATAATTGTTAAATAACACAAATGTCCTTTGTATTTAATTGCATTTTATTGGCCAATTTTCGTGCATTATCAGCACACGTTTCATCAGCGAAAAATGAGCCCAGCCCAGATGAGAGAAAGTAACGAAAAATAACATAATGCATTACTTTCCATAAACAAATATCGAAGTAATGCAATTAGTTACTTTTTTAGGGAGTAACGCAATGTTGTAATGCAT